GCTGAGGGTTTGACTGGATTCTCCTTGGATAATCCATCGTTCGTTAGTCTCCTGAGACAAGCACAACCGTTGTTCCTATTTTACAGATGAGTTCACTGAGGCCCAGAGAGGGCATGGAACTCAGCTCAGGGTCACACAGCGAGTGATTCAAACCCAGGACTGGGGAAGCTCAGGTGCCCCCCTGCACTGGAACCAAATGTCAGAATAGCAGCCCCGCCCCTTCTCTCCCCTCCTTGTGGCTGAAACTGGGTGCGCAAGCACCAAACGCTGGCTGTCAGCAGCTCCTCTGGCCTCTGATAAATCGAGAGAATTAAAATCCATTTAGAAGGAAATCTCTAAATAGGTCTGTGTTGTGTTTTGTGTGTATTTTTTTTCCTGTCTTTTTTTTTTCTCCCTTTCCCCTGCTGTCTCCGGCTGGGTAATGTATTCCAGGAGCAGAACTGAATCTGACTTAATTGAATTTAAAAGCAGGTATTACATCTGCACCTTGTAAGCGGAGGCGGTGGAGGAGTCCCTGCGAGATGGAGTGGCTTTACTGTCTGAGAAGTGACATTAGTCTCCGCTGGGACTCCTTACTGGGGCCCCTGGGGCTGGGTCATCAAGGACGGGGGTGTGGAGGGCAGGAGGTCACAGGACTGCTGTGAGGTGGGGTGACTGGCCCTCGGGAGGATGGGAGAAATGAATCACATTGCCTGCAGAGTCCACCTTTGGAGGTGAGGCCAACAGGAAGGTGATATCTCCCTTCCTCCCACTTCCTGTTACCCCAAACACACCCCAGAATCTCCTCACTTCTCAAGCTCTGCTCTGCCTCCACCCTGGTCCGAACCCCATCCTCACCTGGGTTCATTGCTCCTTCCTGGATCACCCACACAGCCAATTTTATTTTTAAATTGTAGACTTTAAAAAAAATTGCATTAAAAGATACATAACAAATTGTACCAGCCTCACCATTTAAGTGTCCAATTCACCAGCATTTGATACCATTTCACACCATTGTGGAACTGCCCCCTCTACCTATTTCCACACTGTTTTCATCACCTGAAACAGAAACTCTGTACCATTAAAGCAGAAAGTGTCTGATCCTCCTTTCTAAGCCTCCGGTAACTGCTATTCTACTTTCTGTCTATGATTTTGCCTGTTCTACGTAAGTAGAATCATACTCTATTTATCTTTTCATGGGAAAAACACTTATTTCACTGAGCATCATGTTTTCAAGGTTCATCCACCCTGTAGTGTGTCCCAGTGCTTCGTTCCTTTTTAAGGCTGAGTAATATTCCACTGTATGGGTGGACCAACGTATATGCAGTCATCTGGCAATGGACACTTGAGTCGTTTCTACTTTTTGGCTCATGCTCCTGTGAACATGGGTGTGCAAGTATCCCCTGGAGTCCCTGCTGTCAGTTCTTTGGGGGATATAACGAAGAACAGAATTGCTGGGTCATCTGATATTCAGTGTCAAAATGGTTTTTTAATGTGTGACCCCCTCCCTTCTTCTAAATTCTTCCATGGCTCCCTATTGCTCACAGGAAAGCTGAAATACCTTCCTGAATCTCTCAAAGCAACCAGCGTTTTAATCTCCTTCTCTCTCTATGAACCCACCTCCCAGTCTCAGCGAATTATCTTCCCTTACCCGTTGTCCTTCGTACATGCTGTTCTGCTTCCCTGAAGCCCTCGTTCCCATTTAGTATTTTGGTTTCACGTCCTCCTGAGCCTCAGCTCTCAGTCCTTTCCTGACTCAGTCTGGATCGGGCCCCCTCCTCAGGGCACCTAGGGGGGCCTGGCCTCCCCCATGAGGACACTGATCACAGACTGGTGACCTGTCTGTCCCTCCACTGAGCAGGCGGAACTGGATCTGTCTTGGTTCCCAGCACCCAATCCAGGGAGCAGTACACAGCAGGCGCTCAATAAACGCTTGCCAAATGCTGCCATGATTCTTTCCCTTGTGCAGCCTCACGCCCTTGAGAAATGAGGCACGGCCACTTCCAACTTCTTCCATCTAACGACAGATTTCAAACAGTATTTTAGCCTGTCGATTAGAAATAGATCCAATCAATGTGCTTGTTTTTCATTCTGCGGTGTGTCTGTGATGGATGGGCGGGCGGGTGGGGGTGCTATTAAGCCGGGAGAATTTTCTATATGTTCCAGGGTCTGGGCAGACTTTTTTCAAAAAGCTATCTGGCCTGATCTCAAAATGAGAAAGTTATTAAGCAAGCGCGCGCGCACACACACACACACACACACACACACACGCACGCACACACACTGCAGGAGAGCATCTCATTCCCGGAAAAAAATATCCGCAATTAATACACAACTGCCAATGTCGCAGTCTGTGTGTGGAGACAGCGAGGACCTCTGCTGACAGCGACCAAGAGGCTTTTTTTTTGTTGTTTTCATCTCCGAAGCATGTCAAAGTTCTTTCTGGAAGTGTTGGCAACTGAATTAAGAGAGTGGAGAGAGATTTCCATTGCAATGTCTTCGGCTGGGTTTAGGGCAAGCGGTTTATGTGGGAGGTAAATCCCAGGAAGCCCCAGGAAGAGTGGGTAGAGGAGAGGGAAGGAAAGGAGCCGTTGCTGGTGAACAGGTGGCTTGCAAGGGTGACTGGGGCTCAGTCCCAACGGGGCCCCAGGGAGACCATGTAGAATGTGCTTGGGAGTTACCTTCCTGAGGGGAGAGAGAGCTGGGGTATTTATCTACCAGCTCCCGTCCATTACTGATCAAGGGCTGCTTCTGGAAGCATCCGTTCCCTGGCACTCTCAGCCTGCCCCTCATCTGGGCTGAGAAGGTCTCAGCTAGTGAGTGGCAGGTGACTGCCTGCAGAAGGACGCCGCCAGCAGGTACCAAAATGTGGGTGCTGCGGGCAGGAGGCTGGGGCACTGGTAGCATCTGCTCCGTGCAGTGGCACTCACGCTGCCTCTATTTCTGGTCTCTACTCATTCATTCCAGAAGATTTATTTAGTCTCTATTGGGTACCAGGTGCTGTGTTGGGGGCTGGGGACAGTGGTGAATAAGACAGACTCAACTCTTGTCCTCCCGGGACTCAAGGACACAGAGAAGCAGCTACAGCATCAGGTAGTTGGCCCTGGGATGGGGGCACTCACAGCCGTGACAGCTCGGAGGAGACTCCGCTCCCATCATTGTCTGGGGGCTCAGGGGAACTTTCTGGAGGGGTGACACCTGAAAATGAGTTGGAGGAATAAGGAGGAATAGGGATGGGGCAATGAAGAATGGCATAGCGAGACTATGAGGAATTCTGAAAAATCATTTAAACTTTTTCTTCCGGGCACTGGAGCTGCGGAGGGCTGCCGGGGAGGTGAGAAGTGTCAGACTTGTAGTTACGACATTGGTAGTGGATCCCTGGCTGCTGTGAGGCTGCCAAGAGTTGGCAGGGAAACTGCTGGAGAGGCTGGTGTTTGTCTGAATGAGGCAGGAGGGGGTGGAGAGAGGGTCTCTGCAGAGATAATAGTGGCATCCATAAGACTGGCCGAGTGTGGAATTGAGCCTGGGGAAGGGAAAGGGGGATCTTGGGTCTTATTCCCAATTTCCCAGAGAAATCCTGGGGTCCCTGATGAGAGAGGGTGCAGGGCAGGAGCTGGTGTGGGGGAGAAGAAGCAATGCCAACAACGCAGTGGGCGTTGGGTAGGTTGTACCTGGTGAACACACAGGTGTCCCAGGGGGACTGCTAGGGCCCTGGGGCCAAGTCTAGGTAGAGGTCAGGGAACCATCAGGGTTATTATTATTATTATTATTATTTAAAGATTTATTTATTTGCTTGTTTATTTATTTGCTTGATTGTTTGTTTATTTATTTATTTATTTATTTATACAAGCACTGGGTACAGTCAGAAGCGCGGGAGGGTGAGAGAATTCACCAGAGCCAGAGGGGAGAGCAGAACAGGCAGACTGACGAAGTATAGTGCTGAGGGGAGCAGCGGGCGCAGCAGGAGAGGTCTGCGTGCCATGTGGGACCCTCACCCGGTGGCTGGGGATCGAACTGGTGCTGCAGAGGCTGCGGGCAGCCTCGCAACCCAGCACTCAACCGTTGCGCCACCAAGGAGGCCCCAATTATTATTTTTTTTAAAGATTTATTTATGCATACAAGAGCTGGGGTACAGGCCAGAGATGGGGGGGAGGTGAGAGACAGAGACAGAGTGGGGAACAGAACAGGCAGACTGGCCCAAGTACACTGCTGAGGGGAGCAGCGGGCAAGACAGAAGAGGTCTGCCGCACCATGTGGGTTGCTCCCTGGCTGGCTGGGGATCCAACTGGTGCTGCAAAGGCTGCGGATTGCTTCATAGTGTGGTGCTTAACCCCTTGTGCCACCAGGGAGCCCACCCCACCCCATCAGGGTAATTAAAGCAACAGAAACTAGTTTCTGAATTTGGGTCATCCAGGGAAAAGGCCAGAGCATTAAATAATAATAATAATGATCAGTGAAGTTCTTTTTCTCTCTAATTGCTAATATTGGAAGTCCAGTTCTATGGCTCAGCACACCAGGCTCTCCTCAACATGGTGATCCCTGGAGACCCACCAGATCTCTCCAGGAACATCCGAGCGGCCAGTAGGAAAGGATTCAATGAATAGCTGGTGTCACTCAAGGCCCACCTGGGAGTGCAACCAATTAAACCACAGGACTGGAAAGTGGGAAAGGTGTGGACTGGCTTAGGTAACACTGCTTACCCACAAACATCAAGGACTGGACACAAAGTTTATTTGTTGTTCATGTAAAGTGCAAACGGATGTTCCTGACTACCAGGAACTAAACCCTGTCCTTCAGAACCAGCCCTTTGGGTCTTGTGCCTCCTGCATCGTCAGGTGGAAGGATCCTATGGACCAAGACTGGGAGTGACAGCACATCACTTGTACCCTCATCCCATTGGCTAAATTCAATCACATGTCTCCTCAACCGCAAGGGTTGCTGGGAAATGTAGTCTTACTGTGTGTCCAGAGAAAGAGGACATCAGTTTGGCCAAGGCTCTGACAGTCTCTAATATGTGATAGAGCCCCTAGGTACCAGCAAAACCAGGGTTCTGCTGCCTCATGAAGGCGAGAGGAAGAATGCAGGTGGGGGAACCCACAAACGCCCACCAGGATGATCCTCACCTCTAATGAAATGGAGGTAAATTCTCTAATCTACCCCAAGACGTTCAGGGATGGACAATGTCCTCACTAGTTGAGAAGCTAAGAAGGTGGGGACTAGATATGTTTGGGTCATGACTGATTCTATATCCTAGAGCAGTGTCTTGCACACAGGAACTATTGGATATAGATTTACTGATGGGTGAGTTGATGGGTGGATGGGAAGGTAGATCCTAGAAGAACAGGTGGGTAGATGGTGGTGGGTGGGTGGAAGGATGAGTGGGTGTTTGGGTGGATGGGCAGATGGATGGTGGATGGGTGAGTGAAGGGACAGATAAGTGGATGGATAGATGGATATGTGGGTTGTGGATTGGCTGGAGGTGTGGCAGGCGAGTGAATGGTTGAGGGGTGATGAGTGGTGGATTGGTGGGTGAGTGTGTGGTAGGTGGATGGGTGGGTCTATCGATGAGCAAAACCATCCCTGCTACATCTTGGATCTACTCTGACACAAATTTGGATACCAATAGTGTGAACTTCCAAATGGATCCTTCTAGTGTCAGGATAGTGTCCCACCTCTCAGACAGATAGCACCAGCCTTGTGGCCGTGAGATGGTTTTAGATGAAACATGAATCAGTTTTAAATATCATTGAATTTTATCGTCAGAGTTTCTGAACTGGGTGCAAATCAGCCCTTTGACACCTTCCCAACACTAGAGAATCTCCCTTTTGGACAAAGAGAGAGAACACCCCATTTCAGGGCCTCCTTAGACTATTATCACTAGTCAGAAATTAATATGATTTTGCTTGTATTGAGTTAGTTTCTACTTATGGTCAGTGATGCTGGCTTTTCATTTATGGTCATGATAAACAATTCCCTTTTAAATGGAGCGAAGGTCTTAGGGAGTAGGTGGCTTTGAAAGAAAATATTCAGGAAATAATAGTAGTGGTGGGCGGAAGATGGTGTTCAGCAAACTGCACTTTGAGAAATTGAGGCTGGGCCGGCCTGATTGTCGCTGTATGACCTGGAGCAAGTCACCTCCTCTCTCTGATGCTCAGATTTCTCTTTGGAAAACATGTTCAACAATCCTTGGGTTTTGAAATAGTTTTGATGATTTGGTGAACTACATAGCTATGTGACCCTGAGTTTCCTCCCACCCCTGGGTCTTTGTCTGCCAGCCTCAAAGAATAAGCAGGGGAGTTAGAATGCAAATTTTCTCCTGAAGTGCGAGAGAGAGTCTGGGTATGGATGCACGAGGGAGAGAAAATCTTACCTACCCAGGTCCTTGGGGGTTCTTTTGTTGTGGAGGAGACTCATTTTAACCTATTCTCAGGAAAGGTTCTGGCTATCACCTGTGATATTTTTCTTTCCCAGGGGACAGTAAGCCGGTGCACTAAGGCGGAATGAGCAACACCGTCACCCTGGACAAAGTTTTAAGCACTTGGCAGAGTGAGTCTCGGAAAAGCCTTTGGAGAGGGTGTGTAGAGAGTTCTGGGGGCTGCCGAGGATAGGGCTTTGGCTCAGCAGGGAACTAAACGTCGCACTTTGAGCCAGGTGACAGCAGGGCTGAGTGTCCCGACCTTCCCATAGCGTCCGGGCTGCGTCCCCTCCTCCCATCCCCCACCTCCCAGCCAGGACCGGTGTGTTTTCCCTCGATGACATTTGGAGTCTTTTAATAGTTGTCACATTAGCATATATTTGCATACCTTATGCTAATCAGGCTATTTATTTTTGTAAAAGCACTTTGACTTGTGGGGCCCTTTCTCACCGGGATCTCGCTGAGTTTTTCCTAGAGACTGTCTACCTCCCTTGGGGTAGGGGGTGCAGGCTGCATTCCACCACCGCCTGCCAGGGGTGACCACCTCACAGATGAGCCCTGGGGGGAGACCAGCCCCAGCCGTGGGGTGCCCGGGCATGCTGGGATCAGCAGCCCCAGAAGTCGGTGCTGTGCTTGTGCCCACCTTGCAGACAGACGATGGAGGCAGGGGAGCATCGAGCCCCTGTGGGTACCAGGTCCCCACCCGAGCACATGTCTCCTTACTCCTCACTCACATGTGGGCCCACAGGACCATGCCCATCTTACTGGGGGAACAGTCGACTCCCACATTTCCCTCCAGCTCTCACTCATGATTTTACCTCTTTTTATGGATTTACTTCTTTCTATACCTCTGTCTATCCTCGCTGACCCCACCTCTCTTGGTTTTCTCTCTCCTGAATTCTCCAAACACTCACACCTTCCCCATCATCACTGAAATCCTTCTCCCCAAGGTCCGTGATGGCCTGCTCCACCCTCCTCACCCCCGAGGGCAGCCTATGACCCAGCCCATCCCCCTGAACTCCTTAGGGACCCCCATGAGGGCTCCGGTTCCACCTCTCCTTGCCCACACTCTTGCCCTTAATGCCATGTCCTTGAACCTCTTGCCTCCTCCCACCGGGGCCTCCTTCATTCTCTGGGCTCTAGCCTCATTTACACCCCAATGACGCCCACATCCCTCACCCAGGCCACCTCTGAGCTCCAGACTTGGAGTCCAGCTGCGCCTAATGTCTCCATGTGAGATTCATGGGGATCTTGCACTCAGCTCCTCAGTCCAGGTCTGCCACCCGCTAAACATGCTCCTCCCCCAGCTCCCATCTGGGCTGCGAGCAGCCCCATAACTGTAGCTGCTCAGCCAGTGTCTGGTGTCACCCTTTCTCCTCCTCTCCTCAGCAAGCCTTGGTCCTCCACCTTTGAGCATTACGAGTAGATGCTTCTTTTCCCTGGATGCCGCCCTACATACTCTTGTCTCTCACCCCTCATGACCCCGTAGGCCTCTCTATCCAGCCATGCTGTTCTTCCAATGGGACACAATCAGCTCCAGGGCCTTTGCACTGGCCATTCCCTCTGCCTGGAATGATCTTCAAGCAAGTGTTTTTCATTTCTTGTATCCCCAGCAGCTGGAACAGTTCCCACGATAGTAGGTGCTCAATAAACTTTTGACCTAGGAGGGGCTATAGGTGTATAGAAAAAAATCCCCGGGAAAATACAGCCCCCCACTCTAGCAGTTGTTATGAGGACATGCGATTTCTTATTGACGCTTTGTTTTCATCAGGAGGAAAGCAGTTTCACTGGGGGCCATGCCAAAATCTCTGTGCAGTTTTGGCGCTGTGACCCGGACTTTGTGGCTCTGGACAGAGACATTCCTCTCTGCACCTCCAATTTCTCATCTGGAAAATGGGGTTGACGCTAGCACCACCTTTCAGTAAATCTCTTAAGAGCTAACCCTTGAGTCTCAAAGAGTTAAGTCCAATCTGGGGTGGTGACATTTGCAATGCATGAAGTTAAAACATTTTCAATAAAGAGAAACAAATCCGGGCGGATGCGCTTTCTGATTTATAGTAATTGCAAACCTGCAGCGGTTAATATAATTGTCCAGCGGAGGGGGTGGCGGGGGGCTTCACGTGGGGTCCAATCAGCCCTGGGTGGGATGCAGGCCCCAGCCAGGTTAAGCAAACGCATTACTTTAATAACCTGGGGAGGCAGCTGGAGCCATTAGTGAGAGGGGAGAATAAATATTATTTCAAGAAGCTCCAGAATCGGCGGTTTTATCACTGAGAATTGTCCCTGTGCTATTTACTTTCAATTTAGATTTTCGGGAAAGTGGCTCTTGGCACTTTTTATGTATGAAGGAGAATGACTGGAATTGAAAAATGACCCGATTTTGCCATTGGGGGGAAGGAGTCATGGTATCTCAGAGTCTCGCTATCCCACAGAGTCAGGCTCCCTCTACTTAGCTCTTAAATCCTGAGCACCAGGACTCAGGTTCAGGCATGTTATGGGGTGTGGGGTTTGACCTGAGTCTGCGCCAGTGAGCCAGGGAACAGGGAGTCAAATATCCAGGGATGTGGACTCATTTAGTTACAACTGATCTTATAAATCCTCTGGTCTATTCTGTTTGTTTACTATGGGAGAAACTGAGGCCCAAAGTGAAGTTGTCGTGAACTACTTGACTCTGCTTGTCTAAGTCCTCTCTCCATTTAGGTCTTTGCCTCTCCTTTTACTTTGCAGCACTCACTGGCTCCCTATGGCCCTTAGGATAAAATCCTCTCAGGCTATAAACATTACACACAGAATAGAAGACAAAATGGATGGTAGATCTACGCATAAAATGTAAAATTCATAAAATGGTTAGACAAACAACATAAGAGAAAATCTTCATGGCCTGAGGTTAGGGAGCATTTGTAGCCATGCTTTCCAGAGATGAGCCAAAAGAGAGGGAAACCAGATACAATGGACCTCACTGACATTATTGACTTCTGCTCTGTGAAAAAGACCTGCTAAAAGCCTGAAAAAATGAGTCACAGACTGGGGCAAAATACTTGCAAATATCCAATAAAAAACCTGTATCTAAATATATAAACGGCTCTCAGACTCGACAGTAAAAAACCAAACAGCCCACAGTTAAAAAATGGACAGAGTCAGGAAGAGACATTTCACTGAACAGGATATACAGATGGCAAATAAGTACATGAAAAGATGTTCAACATCATTAGCCATTAGGGAGATGCAAATTAAAACCACAGTTGGCACATCGCTTACACACCTGTCAAGTTGGGTAAAATAAAAAATAGTGATAATAGCCATTGCTGGTGAAGATGCGGAGAAATGGCAGCATGCATATATTTCTGGTAGGCACATAAATGGTACAGCCACCCTGGAAAAGAGGCTGTTACAGGGATTTTGTTGTTGTTTATTTGCTTTTTACAAAGCTAAACATGCGCTTGCTGTATGACCCAACCATTGTATTCTTGGGCATTTATCCCAGAGAAATTAAAATTTGTGTTCCTCCCAAACCTGTACATAAATGTTCAAAGAAACGTCATTTGAAATTGCTCCAGACTGGAAAAAACCAGATGTGCTTCAACAGGTAAATGTTTAAGCCAACCGTGGTCTATCCATCCCATGGAATATTACTAAGTAATGAAAAGGGTTGAATTAGTGATAAGTGCATCAACTTGGCTGGATCTCAAAGGAACTCTGCTGAATGAAAAAAGCCAGTGTCAAAGCTTCTATGGTATAGTTACTTGTCTCTTAAAAATGGCACATGCTCTGAGAAAAGTGTTACAAGATGCTTTCATCATTGTGTGAGCATCAGGGGTTATATGGTATGACCTATTGGGTCCCCCATTGTATATGTGGTCTATTGTTCCTTGAACTCTTAAGTGCCACATGTCTGTACATGAGCCATTTATAGAATGACAAAACTATGAGCTGGAGGGTGTGGAGGAGAGAGGGCGGTGTCTGTGGCTGCAGGAGGATAGCACAAGAGATGCTGTGATCAACTTTTTCTGTGTCCATGAATCTACACATGTGATAAAGCTACCCAGACACACACACACACACACACACACACACACGCACACACACGCACACACACAAGGGCAAAAATGAAACCAGTAAAATCTGAAAAGGGCTGCTAGATTGTATAAATGTTTATTTCCTCTATGATATTGTAATGGTAAAGTGTTATTATTGGGGGACACTGAGTAAAAGGCATATGAGATCTGCCTATATTCATTTTTCTTTATAAAAATTTTATTGAGATAACTCACCTACTGAGTCATGTGATTTTTAATGATGTTTTGGTTAATGATGAGCTGCATATGAACAGGGTCGCCATAGGCTGCGCCCTCTAGCCTGGGCAGGTTTGTAGTAGGTTGGGCTGCCTGGGGGCTTGTCATTACACTCCATGATGTTTGCACAGCTCAGGAGAAGGAACAATCTTTTCAGCAAATGGCATAGGGACAACCGCAAGGTCATGTGCAAAAGAAAGAAGGTGGGCCCCCAACTCATGCCACACACACAAACACACACACCACCACCACCACTATGGTTAAGCCAACCATGGTCCATCCATCCCATGAAATATTACTAAGTAGTGAAAAGGGTTGAATTAGTGATAAGTGCATCAACTTGGCTGGATCTCAAAGGAACTCCACCACCACCACCAACAATGTATAAGAGATCGTAGACCTAAAAGTAAGATCCTAAACTATAAAACCATGATCTTGGATTAGGCAGTGGTTTCTTAGATATGACATCAATCAAAACCACAGCAATCAAACAAAAAATCAGATCAATTAGACCATCAATATCAAAACTTTTGTGCTTCAAAGGACACCCTCAAGAAGGTGAAAAGAAAACCTACAGAATAGAAATAAGCTTTTGAAAATCACCTGTCTGTTTGTCCACCCCTCAAGGGCCATGGCTCGGTGGATGCGGACTGGGCCGCGCCAGGGCTACCTAAGAATGTGACTGTCAATGTTCTTCCAAGTGCCTGCCTGCGGGGGGCTCATCGTCCCTGATTCCTGTGGCTTATTGTCCAGGCTGCTTACCCTCTGCAAATTCCATTGTCTGGGGCTTTGGGGACTCTGGTGTCAAATACCACTTGTACCAGGGTCAGAGTTTGATAGTGTCTGATAACTCCATGGCTTGTCATGCAAGGCTCTACCCCTGCAGAAAAAGGCTAAGATGCTTATGGTTCCATAACTGAATTATTCATGGACTTGGAGAAAATGAACACTCACTCAGACGGCGCCATTAAGGAGTATTTCATAAAGAAATTCTTTACAGAGGTATAGGCAGGGTCATGGGAAACCCTTGGGGCGCAGCGTGTTATCTGGGGACTGTAAACACAGCAGCTGTTCCTTAGCCAGGCCTGGCGGTGGGGAGGCAGCATGGTGGCGGGAATCCAGTGGCGCTGAGACTTGGAACGGGCTCAGCTGCTTAGCAGCAGGACACCAGTACAGCAGCTGGGGGGACAGACACCTGGACACGCCGGCGGTTCTCTTCAGTCCTCTGATCTCCTCCGCCTCCCATTGGTTAGAGGCTACATGATGTGGCCAGTCAGGGACCGAGGACTCTGTGCAGATGACCCTCCCCAGCTCTGGTGCTTGTGTGTCGGGGGAGTAGAACAAATGGAGCATTTCCATGGGCAAACCCAGGGCTCCAGCCTTCGTGGTTTCCCCATCTGCGCTCTCCATAGAATCTGGCCAGCTCACTGCTGACGCCAAGGGTTTCTGCGTCCCTTACTTTGGGGTGGGCTGGGATTCACTGTGAGATGAGCCAAATCAGAGCCGGCCCAGGTGACGCTGCCTGGCATTGGACTGAGATGTGTTCTTCCAGGATGGATCCCAAATTGTTCATCCTGATCTTAGAGACCCCCGGTCCAGCTCAGCTTCCAGTACCCCCCACCCCTCACCGAGTCTGGTTCTCCCAGCCCCACCCACCTACCCACCTGCACATCCTTACATTCAGCTGATTCAGTCTCAACACATTTGGCACCGAGCCTTTGCCCACACGGAGCTCCCTGCCAAGCACACCCTCCCACCACACACCCCCTCTCCCGATCCTACCACTGCGAGATCTGGGAGGCACATGTGAGCTTGAAGGACAAGGAGGAGTTCATCACAGGAAGCGCCCCGGGCAGAGTATGTCAGGAGGGGAAGAGCCAGAACAAAGGCCCGAGGTGAGACTGTGCTGCTGCAAGTGGCAGGAGCAGCAGGGAGGACGGTGTGGCTGGAGCAGAACAGAGGGCAGGGGAAGTGGCCAGGGCAGAAGATTCACCAGGAGGGCTGGGGGGGGGCTCTTTTAGACCATGGTGAGGGGTTCAGCTTGATTTAAGCACAATGAGTGGCGCTGTGAGCGCGTCACAGTCTAGTGGGGCTGGACTAACCAAACGCCAGACTGGGCGACTTAAACAAGACATTTTATTTGTCACATTCCTTCTGGAAGCTAGGAAGTCCAAGACCGAGATGCCAGCAGACTGGCTTCCAAGGAGGACCCTCTCCTTGGCTTGCTGAAGGCTGCCTTCCCGCCGCGTCCCCACATGGAGGACGGCCACAGTGCTTTGGTTTCTCCTTTGCTTATAAGGACTCCAATCCCATGGGCCTCACCCCCACCCCACCCCCACCCCCAGGACCTCATCTAAACTTGATCATTTCCCAAAGACCCATGGGGATTCCGGCTTCAACATCTGAATGGGCCATAAATACTCAGTTCCGTAGCAGAGTTTGTATCACTGAGTGTTTGGATGCATGAGTGAAAGGAAAAAGCAGGCCAGGCCAGGCTGCAGGCTTGGTCCATGAAAACCAAAGACCAGGGGTGACACCTGGTTGCCCTCAAGGGGGTCCCCTCTTTCAGGCTGGACCCCACCTTGGCCCATGGGGCAGGTTGCCGTGGTTGGCTTGGAGATGCTTCAGTGGCAGGGCCCATCCCGAGCTCTCTCTTAATGACGCCCAAACAGCTACACAAAACCAAATAGCTCATCATAATTATTATAAAATATTAAAATGACTCACAAAATAAATT